CAGATACTAAACAGTGAAATGCACTGGAGATTATGTCTATAATATTCCCATTTATGTGGCTCTGTGGTCTTTCATTGGATAAATATTTTTTCATTAAATTCTCACATTGGAAGAAAAAAGGCCCAGAGGAGAGGTTTTTCCCCATTTGGACGAAATGCACCTGGCTAAATTGATATCTAACTATAAACATTTCTGAATAGAATCCATAAATGAAGCATACCTATTGTGACCCAAACTTCCAGCAATTTTTCTCATTCTCAAGCAGGAGAAGAAAAACAGCAAGGGGATTTCCCTAACTTTCTTTTTCTTGGAAAAAAGGGTTTTTTCTTTTCCTTTTAAAATCAGGTAGAAATTACTGGATGAGATTATTATGCCTCGATGCTCTTCACAGTTCATTTGAAGAAGATTGAAAATTTAAGATTTAACATTTTTGCTCAGCCTTAGATTAAGATAGAATTTGCTGGAAGCAGGATTTTTCAGGTAACAAAATTGGTAAAAGTATATCTGATTCAAAGGCTGTCTGTTCTTTAGTAAAGTAGAAAAAATAGGAAAGAGCAGCGCTAAGCTTAATGTCTTTTCTGAGCCTGCTAATTAATTCTATATTGTTTCCAATATTTACAGTCTTTGTGCATGCTAACTAAATAGTTAGGTTTTTTTTTTCCTGGAACCTGGCACTTATTTTACATCAGAGCTAAGTTTATATTAAAGGAGCTTCATCATTTTGGGATCTAGTACCCGCTGTTGGTGGTAAGAAAAAGGTCAAAAAGGCGGTAACAGCATGATCAAAGTCCTATCTCTTTTCTACATCTGCATATAAAGGGACTGTGTGTTAATCACACTGTTACAATCATCATGTTGACTTTTCTATCTTTCCTGATAATATTATTGTAACTTGCCTTGAAAACCTTACCTTATCCTTTGTAGTATTCTTATAACCTGATGATTTGAGCTAATGTACTGTATATTAAATTCTCTCTTTTACTATCAAATGTTTTCTTACAACTATTACTACTAAATATTTAAAATAAAAAAAGTCCTGAAAATGTAATTTGACATTTTCTCTTTGCCTTTTTTAAAAAATCTGATTGCATGGGTAATATTTTTTTAATTTTAAGCTTCAGCAATACAGGCCCAGAAAATAGCTCAATAAAATGTATTTCATTTTTTATCATATTCATTATTTACCAGTACTGTTATTTGTGGAAATCCTATTCTTTCACATGAAGGGGGAAAACACCAGGTAAAGGCATTTCCTTAGAAGATTGGTAATGATGTCAAGCAATTACACAAAACAGAATTGTAAAGCCAGGTCAATTTTCAAAAGGCCTCTGTGAGATTTCAAATATCCAAGCTTTCATTCTATAGACATTCATGCAAGATTAAAGGTGTATTGAGCCAATTTATTTTTAATTTACTCCATTTTTTTTCAATTGTTTTCCATTTGAAACACACAAACATACACACATGCACACACTATCACATAAACACCTATACATGTGTTGTGTGTGATAATATATACAAATTGAAAATAATCCAAAGGAGGGCTTTACTTTCAAATGGAACAGTATTACCTAAAATTCACTTACACAAAATACACACATACACAGAGTGCTGTTCCATTTGCATGAAAGTCATCTGCCCATACTTTTTCTGGCTACAGATTTGGTCTCAACTAACTTTTTCTTTTAGCTTCTGTAATTCAGTAAGCATAATGAAATATTTTAGTAATATTGGGCCTCTTAGAATTAGCTGGGACAATCATTTTTAAACTCTACTCCAAATATAAGTTTTCGGCTATATTTATTGTAGTCTTTAAGATTAGTAATGGTGAAAAAATTTCTACTGAATGCTTTAGGCATACCGTTCTCTGAATTTTTGCATATCTTTGCCAGTCTACTGTAAGTTGATATAAATTTGGTTTTGCTAATATATCCTAGGAGTCTGAGTGGAAAAATACACCAATGTCTGTTTCTTGTTTCATTTATTTCATACAATCATCGAACAAAATTATAACAAATATTACACTCTGCTTAATTAGTTGTAATTAGTTAATTTAAAGTTTTTATCCAGATCCTGACAATTTTATGGAGTATAGCCTCTAGCATAGTGGTTGCCTACTGGTGGGCCGGGGACCACTGGTGGTCCATGAGAAAATTTTGGTGGTCTGCAGAGAAATGTCATTCCCAAAGCATCCCCCAAAGCAATTAATCCAGGCTGTGCGGGAACACAAGGCAGCGCCGCCCAAATGGTCTGTGGGAACACAAGGCTTGCATCGCTTGCATTGTGAACAACACGAAGTAGTGAAGGGAGGGGGCAAAGAGTGGAGTGGGAGAACTTGCCCCACTCGCTCCACGTGCCTTGCCGGACTGCTTCTTTCCGCTCCTGCTTTTGACTGCACACAAGGAAAGCAGCAAGTCTTTTTTTCTGTCCTTCAAACTCCGCCAGAAATGAGTCTTTGGGACCCTGCAAGGAATCCTGCTTCAAGAGGCTGCGCTGGCAAAGACTCATTTCTGGCAGAGTTTAGGGGAGAGAAAGAAAGACTTCTGCTGCTTTCCTTGCATAAAGCCAAAAGTCTCTCTCTCCCCCTGAGAACGGAGCTGGAGATGGTATGCTGTGATCCCAAATAAAGAATGATCGATTGATAGAAAAATGGGCTGGGGAATTTTCCTGCAGACTTTTTTCCTGCAGCCACGGTCAGTCAAAATTCATATTAGCGGTCCGTGAGATTTAAAATTATGAGTTTGGTGGTCCCTGAGGTCCAAAAGGTTGGCGACCCCTGCTCTAGCACACAACTCAAAAGCCAAGAACTACTATACATGGACTGCAAAATTCTGAATAAATTTCAGAGGTCACCTTAGCAGTTGTTCAAAAAGCCAGTTATGGTAGATCAGTCTTAGTTCCTGACCCTATGGGGTGGGGGTGGGTGGGAAAGCTGCACATTTCTCATCTGTGGAATGCTAGCACAAATATTAAACCTAGTTTAGCCCTTTTTCCAAATCAATGTGAAAAAGATGGGCTAGAACAAAGAATCTTGAATCACAGCCCTTTAGGCAGAAGCAGAGGAGGTATTCAGCAGGTTCTGACCAGTTCTGGAGAACTGGTAGCGGAAATTTTGAGTAGTTCGGAGAACCAGCAAATGCCACCTCTGACTGTCCCCGTCCCTATCTATTCTCTGCCTTCCAATTCCCAGCTGATTGGCTGGGTCTTCTTTTGTTGCCCTGCACAGAAAGCAGGTTAGTGGGGTGGGGAGAGAATGGGATTTTGCAGTATCTTTCCCCTGGAGTGGGGTGGAAATGGAGATTTTGCAGTATCCTTTCCCTGCCACGCCCACCAAGCCACGCCCACAGAACTAGTAGTAAAAAAAATTGAATCCCACCACTGGGTAGAAGGCATGAAACTAGAAAAAGGAGCTAAATCTTTTTTTAAAATACAAAGTATTTTAAATGGAGAAATAGATGTTCACATAGATCAAGTCTGAAGAAGATGATCTGATTCATAATCTGGTTACATAAACTTTCCTTGCAATTCAGAATACAAGGCCTTGCTTTACATCTTTTGGAGGGTGGGAGGTTTTCTTTTTAATATAGAACATTTTAGAATGAGAAACAAAACACTTGAAATGTATATTATCTTGTACATCTTAATGATAAAATAATGTCAAATTATATTGGATAATGTGAACAAATGTGAACAGACTCCATTTATGTTTTTATAGTCAAATGAATTTGAGAGAAAAGGGGAGATATTAGAAGTTTGGGCCCACTTTGCAGTAAGCTAAATGGAAAGTCAAAGAGAGGGTTAAACCCATACTATATGCAATTATAAAGCTAGCAAGAGGAAGACAATTATCAAAGGAACCAAATAGAACATCCTGAAAGAAAAGCAAGAGAAATGTGTTTCTGATCAGATCTTAAAGCAGGTCAAAGAGGAGACTAGTTAAATATCTAAAGGCAGCAAAAACAATTCTGTGCATGGTTGTTACATGTTCTGCATCCTTTATCTAAAAGCATGTTCAAGAACAACCATCTATTTCTGGAAATTATTTCTTGAAGAGAGACTGTCGAAGTCCAATTTAAAGTTAGAGAACCATAAAAAAATAAACACCTTGACATTACTCACATTCAAGTCAATACTTGAACAGCAGCCTGAACAGCAGGTGACTATGTCAGTATTGTGAAATATATGTTTGCTTATTTTGTATTTGTTTTTCCTACATTTGCTCTGATATATGTCAACAGCATACTGTAACGTGTTTCCTTAGCTATATAGAATCTATGTATAAGGCATTAAGATACGGGAAAGTAAAAACATAACGGAATCAAATTTTTGTAAGATGTTAGCATTTGCTGAAAGGGAAAACCCAAAGAAAAGAAGGAACAAACATAAGTTTAAATTATATATGGAATCTTGTTAAGCAATACAGTAGGTGAGGGGAACACTTTGTATGTCTGTGTTGCCTCTTGAAACCACAACTCAGAAAGGACTTGATAGTTTCTGGAAAGGATAGAGCCTAAATTTGCTTTGGTTTGTCATCTTCTTAACCTCTAATCTATGATTCAGAGTACTATTTGAGCCCAGATTCAATCTTTGTTTACTCTTATAGACTCGTGGCCCTAGTCTCCTTTGAAAGGCTGGGATGTCCAGGCTCAAGCACTACTTCTCTTTACAGGGGAGCCCAAAAGTTCTCACTGGGAGTCTTCTGTATTCTTCTGAAGGTGTCTGCCCACCTTTTTCTCTGCCCTGGGCATTCTGCCTGCCCCTATGTCACTTTTAGTTATTTTTAGCTCTTCCCTCTTCTGATCAGAGTGCTGTTGGGATTGCTTTTAGGCATGGAGTTGGAGGCGGTGCTGGGATTTTGGCAAGGGGTCCAAGAGTCTGTAACGTCCTGGGGCAATCTGATATCCTTAGGTCTAGGGAAAGTGTTTACAGGCAGAAACCTTGACGCTGGCACTGGAAGACAGGGGTGTTCTCAGAAAGGGGACATAGAGAAGGACAGTTGGGGAGGGGGGAATCTCAGTTGTGGCTATAACCCCTTTGAAATACCAAATCAATTTTGAGAGTAGTGTCGAGATGACAGTGTGGTTATCCAGGGCTGAAGACAATCAGCTTTAAGAGAAAGGCAGGAAAAGAAAGGATATGGCATGACCTAAGGAAATTATATAGCAAAAGGAAGAGGAGGAGAGAAGTAAATTAGAAATTAGAGCAGATATGTTTAAATCGGGGAAAATAGATGAAGGGGAATTAGGAGAAAAGATGTCAGCTGAGATACAAATAGTGTGAATAGACTGATATTGGAAAGGATACAGGATAGAATATCTGAACTGGGAGTTCTCTGGAGAAGGCCTCAGAATTGGGTGAACTTCGAATCATGACCTCCTACATCATCTCAGGCTCTCTGTAGCTGCCAGCTCTACCATGGAGAAGCTATTGCCACTGACTGCAGGGGAAAGTGAGCCCATTGTCCACTGTGGGGGACATTCCCACAAGGACTGTTGTGAGCGGGTGGTGATAAATGTTTCTGGCTTACGATTTGAGACCCAAGTAAAGACCTTGAGGCAGTTCCCCAATACTTTACTGGGTGATCCTCTGCGGCGCTTGCAATATTATGATCCATTGCGTAATGAATACTTCTTTGATCGCAACCGGCCTTCCTTTGACTCTATTCTGTATTATTACCAATCTGGAGGACGGCTTCGAAGGCCAATCAATGTCCCACTTGATGTTTTTTTGGAGGAACTCAAATTCTATCAACTGGGTGAAGAAGCTCTCACTAAATTTCGTGATGATGAAGGATTCATTAAGGAAGAAGAGCAACCTATGCCTGAGAGAGAATTTTTCAAACAAGTGTGGCTACTCTTTGAACATCCAGAGAGCTCCCAGGCTGCCCGCATCATTGCCATCATTTCAGTTATGGTCATTCTTATCTCCATCGTGATTTTTTGCTTGGAGACTTTACCTGAGTTTCGGGATGAGAGCGACATGTCTTTGCCAGTAAGTATTGAAGGCTATATTGATTTTTTTTCTATAACTGATTACATTGTTTTCTCTGTTCTACTTTCTGAATGATGATTATTGATATTTCGGAATATATTTTCCTTCAGAATCCCCTTCCCCAATTGGTACCCAGATCTTAGACAAGAGCAGCTGTTTTGTCGAATGCTAATGAGAGTTGTAATGCAATAAATGTAGAATTCTAGCTTTTAGGGCAATTACTCTAATTCCAAATTATAATTTAAATTGTTTTATGAATTTCAAATATAATATTCTCTTACTGGTTCAGATAAACCTCTATTTCTGTCATACAAACAGCAGTATTGTTACCAGTATTTTGACATTCAAGAGTTAGAGTTTATCATTCTGATACCCTTACTCTTTTAATTCGTATCTGATATTTGCAAAAATCAGATATGAATTTTAAATTATCACTTCTTTAATTCTTTTAAAAATAAGTAGCGTAATGATGCAACCATTTCTTTACTTTATTGGTCTCCATCTGAAAACTCAATGCCACCTTGATTCTAAGTACAACGGACTGTACTTTTCATTGCAGAAACTTCATAGTTGATTGTGAACATAATAACCAGAGAATCAGTTGAAATAGCCATGCTTCTGTTCTCCTCAAGACAACATGTGTCTATTAGTGTATCATAGGCCATGAAGAATGTGGGGATCTCCAACTATTATGGTCTTGACTAATGTTACTCAAAACTCATTTTTTTAACCCACTGCTGATCTACATGGCTTTCAGAGCCTCCTTATTTTCTGTAGTATTGTGTGATGGGGTGGCAATAAAGTTAGGCACTGGGACTGAAAATTGTTGAAGTTATAATAATGACAACAGTAACTCTCAACAAGGTAAAATTCCCTCACAAATCAACATTTTTTTCAATGCTAATTATTCTGTGTTTTGATTCTTCCTCCACCTGCTGCCATGTTGTAATGGTTAGCCTCTGTGATTTTCAGTCCTCTCAAACATGTCCCCAAACAAAAGTTGAAATCCTTTGTCCTAATGGGCTGATTATCTTGCTAGTTGACTCAGCAAAAAGTATAATCCTAAAAACCTGTATACTGTACTATGTTTGCAAAACCTTGGAATTCAAAAAGGAACAAAACAAAAGCAAGATAGAGAGATTTGTTTGACTTTCAGTGTCAACTTTTAAACCAGCTTTCACTCATGTAATATTCTCCAGATGTGTTTAGATTGCAAATCCCAGATTTTAAAAGTTGGCGGAATAATGATTCAGCACCACTAGATAGTCGATAATGGGATAGTTGAAATAGTAATATAAAATTCATACAGTTTCATTCTTTGCTACAGTGTCAACATACATAGCATCTCTTACATATTCCTTGCTCATGTATCTTTCACATTGAGATTGCATGGTCTCAGCTAAAAATATGTTTTTGGTTTGTCTAAGTATGTCTTCCTCCACCATATCCTTCTCCAGCCAATGTCATTTAATTTGTCTCTATTATCTTTGGAATGTTTCAATCACACTAAATACAATTGTGCCATTGAATATTGAAGAAGATGGTAAAATTTAGGAAACCGTAAAATAGTGCTTCCAGCCAAGAGCCATTAAATAAGATTAAATGAAAATGTGCTTGTCATTTCCTGTGAATATTGTTCCTGTGAATAATGATCAGGGGAAGGGGGTTTAATCCAATGACAACTGAAAAAAATCACAGTTGGGAGAGGAGGTGTAAAGATGTAACACATAGGAGATATTGGACCCAATGAATGCCTGAGCTCTGATTTTGCCTTTGTCTTTCTGTCTGCCACAAAAAATGCCCTCAGAGACTATACATATCATGGAGTCCCCAAAAGATCATATATCATCAATGTAAAAATAGTGCAGCCTGGCTATATGTGTTGCTTCAAAATGTGTTGAACTACAACTCCCATCATTCTCCATGCACATTGGGAATATTGAGACTTTGTAGAAAGGATAAGATACAAAGAAATTGATGTAAAATACTTGCAGAGAAGTACAGGAACAGGAATGAAATAAATATGTATTTCTTCTTCTTCATACAATGCTTTCTCCAATGGTTAATTTATATTGTCTTTTGTCTGATTCCCAACCAGCTCTTAAGTTTTCTCAACTGGGAGGGGAAAATTTTCAGGGGAAAATTCAGCATATGGAGGAAAAGTATAAACTTTCCTTTCACTGAATAATCTCTGGAAATACTCCATCTTGGCTAGTGAAATTTGTAATTCTACCCTCTAGGTTATAAAAGGAGAACACTCATTTCTAGATACTTCACTTATTAAGCTGCTTCATTTCGGAGTCTCATACTATTGGAAAGAAGAAACTGGGACACTTAAGAGATGAAAAGTAGTTCAGCCAGGAAAAGTTGATAGCAGAAACTCAGTTGCAAAATACAATATTAAATATATCCTCCTTCTATTTAACTCAGAACCACTTTGTTATTGTATCTAGAGAGGAATTGGGGAGATCCAAGTTTCTGCTTAACTATGGAGCTCATTGGGTGATCTTTGATCACTCAATATCTCTTAACTCAACTTCTCACATAATTGTAAGGATAAAAGCTATTCCCCACCTTTTCATATAGGTTGCCTTGAACTTTTTAACTTTTATTTATACTAAATAGCTTGTTCTTTTTCCTTTCAAAGCAATATAATTTACAAGAAATGGTAATCATACATGTTTTCAGATGGATATTCCTAGTGCAACAAGAGTACTGTGATGATATTTTGTTCTTAGAGAGGTTCAGGTTGAAGCATTGTTATCTGTACTCACCCACAAAATTCTATGAATAATGCAGGGTGTCTAGATGAGAAGTATTGTTATCTGTATGCTCAGGATATATAACATTTGGAGACACTACAATAAAGTGGACCTACAATGGGCTGGCTATCTGCATTCAAATATTTGGCATTCATAGCTTTACATTAAGTTGAAGAGCTGTAACCAATGGGCTCCTGCCATGTCTATCTTTGAGTCAGTATTCAACATTTTTACAAATGATCTGGATAGTGGGATTGCTTGGTTGCTTATCAGATTTATGAAGGACACAAAATTGGAAGATTTGAAGGATATAGAAAACAAAAAAATGCAGTCTAATCAAGACATTGGAAGATTGGGCTCAGAGGACAAAATGCCTTTCAATTAAGAGAAATATAAGATGCTCCATTTAGGGAGGGGAATACAGGCTACACATTCATAGCTTGGAAGCACTACATTGGAGATGGGTTCATATTGCTACTGAAAACAATCTGATCACGAGTACAAAATGGTTTCTAGAAGGGCTAATATCAGTCTGGGATGCATCAGTGGAAGCACTGTATTAAAGGCATGTGAATTCTGTATTCTCTCTACCCTGTACTACTGAGACCCCACCTGCTTTTGGAAAACATATTTTCAAGAGGTTATTAATGTTAAGCAGAACAGCAAAGATGATACAGAGATAGATGAGACATTCTTCATAAGGATGGATGAAAGAAAATTGGGAAATTCCCATTGAAAAAAGAAGATTGTAGAGAGACACGAGATCAACATTCAGGTATATAAAAGTGTGCTTTAAGGAAGATTGTCAGAAACAATTATACATTGTTATAGAAATTAAGACCCGAAATAATAGGTATACATTACAATTGCCCATACTTGGTTTAAATATAAGGAAAAACCCTCTGACAAAAAGAACAGTACAACAGTGGAACTGTCAGGCTTAAGAAACCAGGAACCAAGGCTGCTTAAATGAGTACAAGTTTATTCCATGCTAGTTCTCTACAAGAATCTGAACTGCTTACAGTCAAAGCAAATTGGCAGTTGATAAAGAGTTAGTGGAATTAAAGATGGGCTGGACTTAGATCTCTTGTGGATGTGACGGTACTTGAGATTGATGACACATGTGATCCTTTCCATGGGATAAGTTGGTCACTTCCTACAGTAACAATCTTACGTACAGAATTTGTTGGTTTTCTACTTCTAGAGGCTTTTAAGAAGAAGGTGGGTAGAGTCCCCTCAAGATAGTTGGTTTAGTTTTCCTACACATTACTGCAGGCTGGATTAAAGGATCTTTGTGTTTGATCCAGTTCCACATCTCTACAATTCTATGCTTTTGCTTTACAATAAATTCCTGTCAAGCCACAATCAAAATTGCTATAATTATTGGCCTTCCTCTTTATCTTCCTGTTGTGGGTTTTTTCTAATTTGTCATTTTCCTAACACCACCTATGGACATCTCCAAGGAAAAGCTTGACTCTCTAACTTATCTACATGAATTGGAACTTTCAGGTCTTGTAATCTTCATCAGAAGGGAAGGCAATCAGAAGTCTTAATCAGTCTACAGTGTAAGTACATATCACCACTGTGTCTATTCTTTCACACACAATGATTGCTCCGTCCATTTGAAAAGAAAAAAAGAATTTCTATTCTCTTCTAGGAACAAATAGAACAAATATATTTTCTTTCTTAACTCCTTCTCCATTCCATTCACAGCAGGTTGTGCACTAGTCAACCTAGGCTGATCTTGAAAAAGTGTAGGATCAGATCTGGTTATTATTTTAAAATCTATGGTTGTCGATGATACTGGGAAGTTGGAGAAAAATCCTTGAAGAAACCATTTCACATTGGTATAAAAATGTATGAGATCTGTCCAGGAGTTGATAGCAACTTGAGCCAAGTTAAGGGCAACTTGCCATGGCCAACTCGCCATGGGAATTCTCATTGTGGGACAATTCAATGATGTATTAATAGTCTCATTCAGTTACTTTTATTATTGGTGATCATCTTTTCATTAAAATTATTGTAACTCTTCTATTTCTGATTTGATTTATTGGCCACAGTTCCACTGAAATTAATTTAATTTTCGTATTTGTTGAATTGTCCTGTATCAAATTATTCCCTGGAAAGCGGGCTCATTTTGACTTGAGCATATTTTTTTCCCATCCTTCACTATTTCTTCTGGAATCGATAGACATCCCTTTTCCTCTTAAAACACATTTTACAGAACTCTGCATTTTG